ATCACAACATCGCCATTTATTTATAAAAATAGCCTCTGTCGTAAGGAGGCTCCTCACAAATAAAATATTAGTAACTGAAAGAAAGGGAGGGTGGTGGGGGGGGTGGGGGCTAGGTGTCTTTACATATATTGTCATTTGCTATAAGACACCCTATCTGTCTCTCGAAATGTGTCAGGAATTACCGCCAATTCCAAAAACATGCATTAGCCCCCACCTTAGGTGCAATAGTTCTTTTTACAGCGGGAAAATATCGCAGCGAAACACGGCTGTGCGAGGCAGCTAACCTGGCAGCTGGCGAAGAATAACCCTGCACAGGAAGAAAGCAACCATGTTATCATGCACACACATGTGGCCTGGGTAAAGATTAAGCCGTATTCATCCCTGGCTGCTTCGCTCTCTCCTGCCTCAGTCCATCACAAGATATGGCAGCCGTTCAGCCAGGAAGCCAGGAGAGGTGCCATGGATTTCACGGCGTTCCCAAATCAGGCCGTCTGGAGACTCGGGCGAGGTGCTCTGCCGCTGCGCAACTCGCCTCGGCTTTCCCACAGATCATAAGCTCTGCACCGATGCCGGGGGTTTGGAATTTTGTTGGATGGGAGTGTCGGTGTTAACAGAGGCTCCCCTCCACCCACCCTAACACACACACACACACACACACACACACACACAAACACACACACACGTAGCCTCAATACAATCCCCTGTTGTGTGCATGGAATTGGGAATCATCTGCTGATTCATGCTTTCTGAGGACTATTGTTCGACAGCGTGTTAATATTTCGGGGAGTTTTTTTTTGTGTTTTTTTTTAGGGGAGTGGATTTACGTGAATGAAAGACAGAGTGTAAGAAAGAAAATGATCATTCAGCATGGAGAAGTGAGGGATCATTGCATGTCCCTGCTGACATGTACATTATCACTAAATGGGGATGGGGGCTCAGAGTGCTGTTGGCCTTGACTTGGGAGAGAGGCTTACACCCCAAGAGCTACTTAGGGGCCTCTCGGTGTTAAGCCGCTAATAATTCCTGCCGTTGCCTTAAAAAAGGAGAAACACAAAGGGGGAAACAAAGTGATGAATGCAGAGTGTATGGTAATGCATCTGGGCCGTGTTCACACTGAACTGGAGCATTTCACCGTGCGAGTGTGAGCGCCGGGTCAACATTAATAATAATGAGAACCACGTCCGGCTGCAGTTTACGGAACAAGCTGCAAGTGGTGGGAAATACTAGAGGTTGTTTTCAGTTATATCACCGTCAAAATTAATTACGGAGACATGTTTTCAGATTCCTTGATTTGTCCGACCAACAATCCAAAACCAAAAAATATTCAGTTTGTCATATATGACGAAGAAAAGCAGAAACCTTTTAGATTTGAGAGGCTGGATTCATGGAATATTTGCTTGTCAGCAAGATTAAGCAAAAACTACTCAACAAATTCCGATGAAATTGTGTGAAGGGATGGGACAGGACCTGAGGAAGAACTCAGGAACATTCTAGAGCGGATCTGAATCAAGGAGGCAGATTAAGAATTTTTTTTTTTCCCATTTTCTTTAACATTGCAATATTTATTTCAACATTTGTATTGACTTCTCAGAGAAGTGTGTGCAACCTGGTGCAGATCCATATAAAAATCTGGTTGTTTTAAGTCGTTATTTTCAGTTTCAGCCCTGATTAATATATAGAGCCTAACTGGCGCTAACGGAATGTTATATAAGTTGAATGCATTTTTGTAACCCTACAAAATGAGGAGCTTTTTTTAAAAGGCCAAATTCACAAGATGAAGATGTTTAAATTTATTTTTAGTGTGAAATAAAAAGACAGAGATCGATCCTCTGTATTTTTTCGCCCGAGGGGGTGCGTGTGTGAACTCAAATGTCCGAGGGAGACACTAGTTTCATGCTGACTTTATCTGCCTGGCCTCCTCGAGTCCATAGAAATCCAGGGGGAAGTAAATGTGATGACACAGCAAGGGATCGCCTGCTGGATTCAACACAAGCGAGTGAGGCGGTCGATGATGCTGCTAAGATGAAAAAGCAGTGAAGACACCGATGAAGATGTCAGAACAGTTTGTAGTGACACCGAGTGTCTGTGCGAAAATCACGTGATCTCCGCAGCGGAGTTAATACGTCACTTTCCGTCTCTGTCTGCTGCAGCCGGCTGCTCCACCTCTCGCCTGAATAACGTGCAGGATTTGTTGCTGTTGTGAACACATCTGTGCAGAAAACCTCCTGCTGCGTTGTGCACGTGTGAAAGGCAAATTCTCCGGATTTTACCCGCAGGTCGTGTCTGAAAATGGCTCTGGTGACAGTTCTGGTGTAGAAGTCACTGGAATGTTGCTCATTTGCACCAGCACTTAGGTGGTGAAATCATCTCTCTCCTTTGTCATTCGAGACACTCTCCCCCTCGTCGAGGGTGTTTGTCGCAAAAAAAACGGAGAGTCGTTCGCACGTCGCGCAGAAATCACAGTTTGTTACAGCAAAAGGAAATAACAATTACTGGTATGAATTTATTTAGTGAACTTCAGCTGCGAAGTCTCGACAGTGTGGTCTAAACTTTTTAATGGAAGCAAATGAAAACAAAAGGCACTCTGCATCGCCTTGAGAGAGCGCAGGAGTGATGCCAAAGGAGCAAGGTAATCACAATGGTGTATCCAGGCATAAACGATTAGCTTACCCATCTGAATATTCAAGGTGATGCCCGAGCCATTTGTGTTGTGCTTCCTACATCCTTGCTTCAGCACACACAGATGAGGGGGGCCGCGGCACTGCAGCGGTGAATCCAAAGTGGTTTCCCTGTGTCAGTGATCTTTTTTTTTTTTTTTTGAAGAAGCCACTGGTGCAGTGTATTAGTCATAATTTATGTTTATCATCTCTTGTACCCCGACTGACTTCAACAAACCGTTTAACGCTCCAAGCATATGTGCATATGGCTGCTTTAATAGCTATTCTGCATGGAGGAGCACTTTAAAGACTCTTAATCATTTCTTTGGACAAACACTAATGAATTATGTCACTGAAAGTGCAACTCAAAAGTGCAGAGGAACTAGTGGTAATCATTGGGAGGCTTGGAGGTTTTAATTATCAGGAGGGGGCTCCTTTATGTGTAAGTAACAGGATTCAAGCGGAGGGCGATAGTGGGACGCATCAGTCAAGAGATCCTCAGACGAAGGGAACGAGGATGGACATGATCACTGCGAGTGTGTGGAGGCTGGAGCACTGACAAGCTCAAGTACTTTTAGAGGGAATACATCTGAATCCACTGTTCAAGAATAGACAAACAGTCCAAAGTGATTCTTTTCTATCAGAACATATAACGTAACATTTTGTAAATAATCTCTCCGGATGTTTTTAATTTTGTTTGTTCATAAATATTTTTATGAGCTGAAAATCGGTTCCACAAGAAACCAACAGAAACCGCGCTGCAGCTTTGCCGTCGCTGATCATGAATTAATCAAACGTTTTGTTTCTTGCATGAGTCAAAGTCCAGGGTCTCAGGGTTTGAGCGTCCTCTTGAACGCGGTCATAAAACATTCAACTCCTCCTCCGGCTCACTCACTCGACAAATAAGCACAGCTTTTAGACTGACCTGTCAATAAGAAGGTTCTGTTGCTAAGTGTTTCCTCTGAGCTGTCTGGATTTTGTCACCTCCATCACGAGCGGCAAATTCCTGCTTAATGCATTAAATTCTAATGTAATTTTATCCCCCATTTTATTTTTTTATCCATCACACATACTGACATTTTATGAAGTTTGTTTACGAAGCCGGTGACAGCTCTGAGGTCTCTTCTCGCCACACGGCGTGTATTTATGTCTGAATATGTGAGCAGGACCATTATGAATGTCCTGAAATCATATTTATTCCAGTAAAAATATCCCCATTCCGATTCATTAAAAAAAATGGCAGCAAGCTGTGGTGGGCTTTTTTTTTTTTTTTTCCCTCACACAAAAAATAGCTGAAATATGGCATGTGAGAAATGCGCAAGGTGGCCGTCTTACAGAAGGTGTAGAGGTGGGATAAATTTAATTACAGCTTCAAATATTCATTTGGCAAATATATCAAGGTTGGAAACACAGGCCCAGAAATGGCAAGCCAGTCTGGCAGGCGCTCACAATAGCGGATGGCAAATGACAGTAATCCATGAAAAGAGACCAGACATTTATAGAATTTATAGAGAAGGACTCGCCATCCCAGATCTCTGATGTTTGTGGGATTTTCTCATTGGCATATTAAATGTAGGGGAAATATATATATAATAATCCCAAACTCTTTTTCTCTCCATCACTTTGGTGGCTGAATTTCCAAATTGATTTGGTTAATTATTGAGCAACGTTTGTGCGGCAGCTCACGTGACCTTTTTCATTTCTCAATCAAAGTTTTTAATGTTTTTTTTTTTTCTCATGTGGCGCTTCAGAAAGATGTGAGATGTTAAAAAGACGGAGTGTAAATGACAGTTTTACCGATAGAATCATACCGATACTCTCAAAGAGCAGGGAGTCATTTCAGACAGACAGGAGCCGTCGTCTCTGTGTTCCTTTCGTTCTGCAGGCCTCAGACGGTCACTCAACACAGTCGCAGCAGCAGGAAATGCAACACGTGAGCCTCGCTGCTCTGTGATCCAACTCGCTCGCTGTCTCGTCTCAAGCTGTGCAACGGGTTGTAGCGGCAGCGCCAGCGAGGCGCGATGCACAAGTGAACGTACACCAGGGCACTTCCTCTTCCTGTGACAGCGAGTGAAGGTGGCCTACTTTGCCTTTGCTACCGCGCCTCGCCCTGCGTAGGATTGATGTAATCAGCAGGTTGAGGCGGGTTAAAGAGGGAGAGGGAGGCCGCCTCACCTTCCAGAGTCTGGAACTGGAGGAAAGCGAGGGGGCGGTAAGTGGTTCTCCAAAGACCACACAGTCACAGAGAGTCCCAGCGACTGGTGCCAAACTACCCCTCCTCTCCGAAACACCATCACCTCCTCCCACCAACAACCTGATTAGAGCAGATCAAACCTCACTCACCTACACCTCCAGGGGGCTCCTTCTCTGGCGCTGCCGGGGCTTCGTGCAGGAATCGCTCTCGGGTAGAGAACACGGGGCCTCGGATGGTTCGGCTGAGCTCTAATAACAAACGGATGCATAACAGTTAAGTCAAAGGTGGAAACTGACACTGACCTACATTGTAAAAGCCACAAAGACGTCTTCACGTCTTTCCTGCATGCGTGCATCTTTATGATTTCATATTAAGGGCACGCAACAGCTGCATGGCAGAACTCTCAGATGTTCACAAGGTCTGATGAAGCAGACTTTTTTCTTTGAATGATTTGGCACCATTTACATTACGCTGCTTGGAAGGTCAGGGGGCGCTATCACAGAGCAGCAAAATGACTGCACATTAAAGGTTCAGTGTGTAGAATTTTCTGATATCTAGTGTTGAAATTGCATGTTGCAGCTGAACACCCCTCACCCCCTCCTTGCAAACATGAAAAAGAAACTGTGGTAGCCTTTAATTGTCATTAAAACTCAAAAGGTGTTTAGTTTGTACAGTCTGGACTAATGTAAAAAATATGGCGGCCTCCGTAGAGAGGGTCCCCTCGATGTAAATATAAAGTATTTAAATATAAAGTATTTGAATAAAATAAAATATAAAGGGCCTTTTCTGGGGTGAAGAAAACTACAATTCATAGTATTTAGATGAAATGAACTAGTGAAAACATCATGGGAATTATTCTACATTAAATTTCTGCCAATAGTTCCCTCTCACCTAAATCTTACACACTGGACCTTTAAGACATTTCCAGTCCGTTGATTTTTTGGTTCCACAACCTTTTATAAACATTTGTTTATTAAGCTGTTAGAGTACCTATGTACCCACAAACTATGATGTCCTGCCAGTAGGAGCATCAGAATAGAAATAATAGACGTAGTAAATGTGGAGGGCTCGTTAGGTGTAATAATAATCTAATTTTCAAGCACAAACAAAGATGTAAAAATGATGAACACTGGTGGTTTGATTGAAAAGTGCACGGTGCACTAATAAATCCACTCAAAGTGCAAAAGTGAAAATCTCGCAAAGTGAAGAAAATTACGGGATCAACTTGCAGGTCAGCTTTTACTGGAGCTTTCCACCGAACATTTATCTGCACGTCACCTCTGAAAATCTCCCGAGGAAGACGAGGCCGACGGACTGAATACATTTGTCCAACAAACAGGAGCTAAACCTTTAAACGGCCTTCCACCCTCCGGATACAGGAGAGGGGTCCATGTGGAGGTATGGGAGAAGCTGGCGGCAGCATCGGGTGGGGTAGAGGTGGTGATGGTGGTGGTAGGGTGCTAATCGGGGAGGGAAGGATGGATGGATGTAGGAGGAGGAGGAGGAGGAAGGGAGGGCGGGTTGATAAAGCCTGATCTGTGCCACGGGGCATTTATGGCTGTTGGGGATGCAGGGGGACGGGGATAGGGGGAAACGGGTGGGAGGAGGCATTGTCTGCTGTGTCCGCGCGTTTATAGGATTGAGCTCAAGTTTCCTTTGTGTTTCCATTTTGTTGAGGGATTATGTTCTTTGAGAGAGTTGTGCAAGCAGGCAGGCGCACGGAGGCGGAGAGAGAGAGAGAGAGAGAGAGAGGGAGAGGGAGAGAGAGGATAGGAGAGAGAGGGGATGGGTGAGGGTGGGGGGGACACAAGGAGGGAGGGAGGATGTCTTTGTTCAGAGCATTGATCATGAACAAGACAGATAGCAGAGGGTGTGTGTCTGTGTGAGTGTGTGTGTACAAGTTAGTGTACCAGTGTGTATGGTTTTAATGCCAGTGTGTGTGTGTGTGTGTGTGAGCGAGTGTGAGCAAAGCAAGATGTCAGGACATGTAACCAGCCATGTAACAATTTAAAATCAATTTGCCTCCCAAGAAGGAATCGCTCTGCGAGACATTTTTCCCTCCGAGCGTTCGCAGGACTTTCAGTCTATCTAAATAGATATCAATTACATAATCGTTTCCCTTCTCTCCGCGCGGCCGCCGACTGCAAAGTTTGTCACACTGAGCGGCGGCGTAATTGTCCCGCACGCATAATGTTTTGTGATTGCTTGTGACATTTGCAGTGTCATTGATCAAACGGGGCGACGCTGTAATGAAGACACAGAAAAGCCTGCGACTGAAGCGAGGAGGGGTGGAGGTGGAGGTGGCGGTGGCGGTGGTGGTGGGGGGGGTCTGACACTTCCTGTGTGGAGCGAAGCAACAGTTCCACGATGGAGGAAACCACCTCCTCTCCCTCCATCGTGATTCCCAAGTCACATCCAAGACACTTTTCTCTCATTAAATCGATTGGTGATGGATGAAAGTCTGTGCATTCCCCGCAATTCATCAAAAATTCCAAAGTCTTAACTGGTGATAATCTGAGCGCTGAAAGTTTTCCAACTCTTCTCATCTTAAAAAAAAACTCCCTCGTGTCTTTACCTAGTTCCAACCCCACTGGGTAACCACGGAGCTATTGTGTTTTCCTCAGCTTGTTAAAACACCACATGGTATATTTGCATAGGATAACCAACATATATAGTGAATCATTTGCATGCCTGAAAGTGCACTTGAGTAACCGTAATTACACGTGACACCAATTACTCTGTTACTTTGTATTAAATTATAATGGAAAATTCCACTAGAGAATTGGAGCCTAATTGCATCTTAATTTGCATAATTTTGCATATTAATCACATCTCCAATGAATAATAAATTTCAGCAGATTTTTTAATTTATGCACAGATACAAAAACAAGTTGAAAAATAATTTGTGAGTGGAAAAATCAGCGACTATTACTTAGAGCATTTCTGCTAATTTCTCTCATTAGCTCGCGCTAAAGTCAAAGATATCTCTGCTCTTGATCAACAAGCGTTTTGCATTTTGAAATTGAGAGTTAGTCAAAGCTTTAATTAAAAAAAAAAGACATAAATTTTGGAAATATCCGTGCATCCGTTTTACATAAAACTTTGTGGCTCTATTTAAAGCTCTCACCATTGCAGAGATGCCAAATTCATTCTACAATGATAATTCAAATCACTTTCTGTCTTTCCCTTTCCTCTCCCTCTTTTTTTTTTTTTTTCCTGGTCAACACCTGTGCCTGAAATTGTGTGTGGCGCCCTGCCAGCACACACAAAATCCGACACCAGTAGCCCAGATTAAATTCAAATTTACAAAAACAACATATTTTCAGATTTAACATGCCACAGCTTCCACAGGAAAAAGTTGACCAAGTTATTCTGTTAACCGGATAACGACGGAACGCCAAAACCAAAAAGTTCGAATCGGCTCTTTTTCAGTTCATCGTCGCTGCAGAACATTTTCAAGCTGGAATCAGAACAAACAAGTTGTCGATAAAGACATCAAATGTATTAATTGGTTTTATATTATATATTTATTTTATGTATTTTATCAAGACATATTATGTACTTTATTTAAAATTTTACTCCTGTTACTACACAGTATTTGTATTTTTTTCCAGGTAATATAATAATCTTTTTACTGAAGAGAGCTACATTTCCATTAACGCCTTCACTAATGGACAATTAGGTTTTGAATCTTGCCACGTTTCCAAACCTATTGTGACTTCTGACCTTTAAAGCAAAGAAATACTTACACAGGTTAAATATGACGACGAGTTCAACAAGATTTTTTCAATAATTTAAAGGATAAAAAAACTAATTCTGTATTAAAAGAATAACCAGAAATTCACTCCCTCATTCACGCAGCGTAACACACACTCTGATAAACTGAGACGTCAGAGGCAAATAAATCATCATCAGTGGCGGGTGTAGTTTTACATTACTGTTACTTTCACATCTAGTAATGCATTGTGGGGAATATGTTGCGTACACACCACTGAACCTTTATGTTGAGTTGTGTGATTTTTTTTTTGAGTAAATGAAGTAAATGAACTGCACCGTACAATAAGTAGAGGGAGTTGTTTTAGCTTTAGTCTGAAATCTGTGCTCTCTTGTGTCTCATATTTATTTAGCGAGTCCCGAGGGGAATCACTGAGAAGCTTCACCTGAAATAACTAAAATCTACAACGTCCGACATCCAAATTCTGCCTCACAGAGCGGTTTTAAATGAGTGGTTTTATCCAGACAACATTAAATGTCACACTGCGGATCCCTGTGTGTAATTCATGATGTGTGATCATTGCAGATTAACCATATTTAACCTCTGCTCCACTCGTGACCTGCCTCGCACACTCAGGAGGTTTTATCCAACATCTTCATCCCCGTCAGTGGCTGTTACACCGAGGAGCTCAGCTGCGGACAACAGTGCCTTTCAGTGGCTCATCAGAGGAAAGAGCTCAGTCTGTAACACACATGCACACGCACACGCATGCACACGACTCTGGGCCTTTGACACTCTGAGCCACTGTCTTACTGTTGGTGCAGCAGATAAAACTTATTTTATTTAAAATACAAAATTGTTGAAAAAAAAAAAACACAAAACCCCCTGATAATAAATTCAGAAAAAAAATCAGAAAATGGAGGAATAACAATAAATTTAATTATACATTTATTTTCCCATAAATTATTTATTCATTTTAACTAATTTCTGTAAATGTTATCTCCCTAGATAAAGGAATATTCGCAGAATAAACTGTAATATTACGCAAAAAAAAAAAAAAACTCAGCTTCTTCACTTTGTTTTCATTTAAATTAATTATCTGCCTAAAGACTGTCGCATTTAGTCGCAAGGAAATTTAGAATCAGACTAAAATAGTGCACCACTTTTCATTTTTTTCTGTACGTTGAGAGTTTACTCCGGTTGTTGAAAGCTCAAAACAGGGGACACGACCTGTGTGTTCTCAGTGGCAGCTACAGTCCGACTGATGTGATCAACCTGCCAGGCTGGTTTTAAAGTGGCAGGTGAAGCAGTTTCAATACTACTGACACTTACGGCGTCTAGTTCATGAGGTATCATTTCTAACTCTCTGAAAGGCTTGTTCAAAGTTTACAGGTTTTATAAATGTTAATTGTTCACATGAAAGAAAACAACAAGAAAAAAAAGTTTCTACTATTAGTTGCTGACTGGTGTGTGGCCCTGTTTTGTAGAGAGAAACTGTCAAACTCTGCAAAACTTTTTATTTCAATATTATGCTAAAAATGTGCATTTTTAAATTAAGTTTGGTTTAATCAAATTACCACAAACTAACACTAAGTATTCCTGCACAGATGCACTGGTTCCACTGGACTTAATTTGAGTTTTTTCCCTCTTTTGGTTTTCTTTAGTTAGTTAGTTTCATTTATTCCTCCATCCTTCTTTGTTCCTGTCTTCCTTCCTATCTTCCCTCACTTCTATGATTTGTCCCTTCTCCCTCCTGCTCCTCCTCTCTGTGAACCTGGTTAAACATCTTGATTGTGGTGTAATAAACAGCAGCCTGGACTCTAACTCTTTTTCACTTGTGTGTTTGTGTGCAGATTCTCCAACAATTAATCCCACCCAGCGTGGACTCGCTTAATATTCTGCTCCATTCCACTCGCAGATGTAAAACGCATCCTCAGCTGACACACATAATTACTATGATACATCCCGGAAAGGTTTCCGTGTCTGAGTGCAATCGCAAATAACCAAGTGCTGTGCAGCTAATTATTGATAAATAAAATTAGTTGGGAGAACTTCAGGTGGGCGGGGCCGCATGCAGGTGTCTGCCGCGTGCTTGTGAGAGCGCGTGCTCGCAGTGGAGGGAGGACGGGAGGGGGGAGGGGGCGCTGACCTGTAATCACTGGGAACAGCGGGGACTTAATGATGTTTTGGTCTGTTGATCAAATTTTACATTTTCGCGCAATCATTTTAGGCACCTGCGTAGAAAACAAAGCCTGGGCGGAAACCGGTGGCCCCTAGGAACAACTGAAGTGTGTGTGTGTGTGTTTTGGATGTTCTCTTTTATTGTTTTAATCATACTTTCCTCGTCCAGACACTTACAGTTCGTTTTTTTTCCCCATACTTAATAAACACACACACACACACAGAAGGGCTATTCCAGGGGACCAACCATTTGGGGGGGTCCTACATGACTGTCGTTCGTCTCAGCTCGGGGGCCCCAGACAATTGCCTGTATTCCCTGCTCTGTTAAAACGCCCCTGACACACACAGACACACACAGACACACACACAGTTTGTTATTGGTACATTTTGAGGTCGTTACATAGACTTGCATTCATTAACCATAACCTTAACCTAAACCACTGACCCAACAATTACCTTTCACAACTAGTCTGAAGCTGAGTCTGTGACACAAACACTATAAATGGATATTTATCTCCCTCTACTGGAAACTATCAGTAAAGCCGCTCTGCTGCCTTTAGGTGCTGCTCCGGCAAACACACACACGCAGACACATTCAACTCTTTCTCAGCTTAATCACAACAAATATGGTAATTGAATATTAATACATATGTAGAAAGTGCTGCGATGAAACATTTGAAATGTCCGTAGATGAGCACAGGAAAAACCTAAAGCCAGTTTGTGACTGATTTATTTTTTAAACATCGACGTTACCTGTAAAATCAATGTTGTAAATAATGTTTAAGATTCTGAGGCTGTTGTGAATCATATGCTGTATATATTGTTCCTGTCAGAGCTAATAGAGCCTGTACATACATCTGGTTGTACATATATAATCTCTATTCACAAACGCCAAATGTATATTTATAAATTAGATCATTGTGTTCTTCACCTACATCCCATCATGTATTTCCCACCAACTTCTTGTATTATTCTGTATTATGCATCAATCTATTAGTCAAGGCATATGAAAGATATATTTAAAAATATAAAAAAATAAGAATATAATTGGACCTGATAGTGAAAACTAAGTGTGGGTGGCGTGTGTTTTTCCAGGAGCACTGGAAGGCATCAGTCATGTGTGTGTACGTCGAGTGCAGAGCATTGTGGGTAAAGCATGGGGTGAGTTGCATAATACCTCCGCTGTGAGGATGGAGGCAGCTTCGAGCCCGGTGCTCGGGTCAAACGTCCCATGTAGCGTCGCCTCCTCCCCGCTGTGATGCAGCGGATCGTCGGCCTCGCTGCATCCCTGGAGATCGGCGGCCTCGCGGCGTGCAGGCCCGGGCTCTGCGCCTGGAGGACGGGCCCGAGCGACCGCCAGCAGCCGGTCCTGCAGCGGCAGTGGGCGGGTACGACCGCGCGTCCTTTCACCGGGGCTGCGGGCCGGGTGCTCTGCGGGCGCAGGGCCGTGTTTGTCGGTCAGAAACTCAGGCTCTTCAGCTCCCAGCCCGGAGCCGACGGGCCGGCGGGGAGCTCCGGCGGCAAGCCCGCTATCTCCGTGGTCGGCATCCCGGACACGTTGACATGGATCCGGTGTAAAGTCGTGATGTACCTGGTGTATCTGTACTTCGAGTTGGACCTAAACTCCGCGGAGTTTGACAGAGGAGTGAAACAGGTGAACACTGACGGACATTAGCAGAGCTTCATCAAACACGCTGAGCCGCAGCATCCCTCTGTCCGAGTCCAACTTTATTCTCTCACTTCGTGTAACGTCGCTGTAAAAAGCGGCAACATCAGACGAACTGAGGAGTTTGTTGCCAGAAGTTTGAACTTCACTTTTAAAAAGTTTAACGTGAAACTTTCCGCGTTTAAACTTCGCACAGTTGGTTACTCACGTCATCCAAAAGTTTCCCAGTGAATTTTCAAAAACCCACAGAAAAGAAACTTTTTTTCATCCAGGAAGCTGGCGACATGTTTGGGCACCTGTTTGTGACGTCACATCCCTCAGCGCATGCGCAAACCTCGTGGTTGTCTCCCAGAATGGCGCCATATTTTAACAATAATCTTTTTTTTGACCTTGGTCATTTTAACCAGAAGTTAGATTTAAATCTATTGATTTATTCAATACTTTTTCTACCAGATTTTATTTTGGGGAGACGACCTCTGCGGAACAATAAACTTGCGATTGAAGGAATCTTCTAACTAAGAGAAGCTGATATAAAGGGACGTTTAAAAACTACTAACTCCATCTTTTCTTGTTATTTAGATTGAGATTCAAAGACCCCTGGTGGCAGACAATTGCATAATGCGCATATAATACAGAATTAATGTAAATGAGCATGTGTAAACTCTTTATTAAATGTATCTTTAGAGTGAATAAGGTTGATCAAACCAAACAATTCTTGGTATTTGGTAGCTGTTCCGTCGTATCACATGAGCCTCCGAAACAGAGTTCGTCCACAGGTTTTGCAATTAAATATGTTGCAATGTGCATTTTTTAAATTCTAGCTGAAAAGTCCAAGTCCTTACGGTGCGTGGAGAAAAATGGAAACACATTCTGGGAAGATTGGATGGAATAGATGTCATAGTGAGACAGAGACAAAGACAAAGGCTCCCACCCTCATATGAAAACAAGACATGACAATCGACACAAGCAGCGCAGCCCACAAATGTGTTTGTAATGACTGAGACCCGTCACATCACTGACCATGAAGCATGTAAATAAACTCCCATCTTGTCCCTCGTCCCTCCCAGGCTTTGGTCCATGTGTCCAATGTGATGTCCAGTGGCAGATACCATCAATTGAGGGGGATAGTGTCCAATGAGGTAACAGATCATGCACATAACTGGATTTGTGTCCAACAGAGACAGTAATATTTCACTCTTACCTCTTCTTCCTGTAAGTCACTAATATTACGCAGGACAGTAATGGACCACTCGTGCTGTGGACTCCTGTGTTCCAGAAATAACACTTTGTTGTAAAAATAATCCAGTTGTAATGTCGGTCAGTCCGACAGTGATGAATTCTTTATGCTTCTAATGATCAAATCTAATCTACCACTGCGTCAGTTTTACTTTTTTGTTTGATGGTGTCTTTTGTTCTCGCAGATAGTAGAACACATCGAGAAGAGTTGCAGGTCCCTCACTAATGCTCAGAGACAGCAGCTCGCTGTCACGATGGAGGACATTATATTTCTGCTTCCTGAAGACGTGTCTGTTGTCTTTGATCAATATGGTGAGTTTTGTTTAAACAGTCTTCATTCGCTGAACGTTCTTTGAGTAAGAAGAGGATTTCAGGACATTTGAGTTGAAGTATACATCATTCACAACCTGAGCAAACAAAGTTAAAGCGCTGCACAAGTTAAAGCAACACTATGTTACTTGTTTTCTGTTTAAATAGCAGCCTTCAAAATGAGCTTGATGATTCAAGGACTTAATATAAAGAATGTTTCCTCTTTTATTCTCACTCCTCACCTTGAAAGTCTTGTATATGTAACTTTGGTGAGTGGGTACGATCTCCTGTGAGAAGTGTGGAACTGACTGAGAGTCGCAGCTTAAATTCTCAACAGGTTAAGTGTCCTTTAGCGAGGGACATAATCCTTAGCTGTAGATCAGCTCAACGCTTTGGAGGACTCCAGATAGAAATTCCATCAGTCGGTTATAAATGTGTGGCTGTAAAAAGTTTGCTGCTAACTCTTGATTTCATCTCTCACGTCACAGGTAGAAAGTTTATCTTCATCGTCATGAGGTTTTGGCTCCTGTCAACACACGAGGGTCCTGATGACCCAGAGGCCACGCAGATCTTCAAAGTGGCCTCCAGTGAAGACGGCAGCCCGCAGAAGAAAATAACAACTGCTGTCTATGAGTAAGTAAACAGCTTGTTGTCGTCACACAGAGAATGTGTCCAAAAGTATGGATTACCATCAAATCTCAGCTTTGACGTATTCAGATCTTTTTCATGCAGTGTGTGCTGACGCAAATGTTTCATCAGTGATTTGCTCCATGTTCTTTACCAAAGTCTTTTAACTTCATTCCTGCACACTCTGTATTCACACCGAATTTATTTATTTACAGAAATAATTATACATTTGCAAAAGCTCAAAGTTTCCTGCAAACCATTTAACATATGGCAAGTCTGTGTTCATGTAACATTATTATCCTCACTGCAAATAATACACTAAGAAATAGAAATATTAATAGTCGTCATCTGTTTGGGAGAAAAGTAAGGAAACAAAAAGCAGAGAGAGTGACAATCCTTTGTTTGTAGTCACTTGAAGACTGAAAGTGGAACATTAATTGAGCAGCAGAAGCTTCAACTGTCAGTGTTGATGTAGTTCAACACTTGGAACATGACTGAATAAAATGTTGAATATTGTGTAGAAGGCAAAACACACAGCATGTGAGCAAACCTAAAATCACACTGTCTTTTTATTATGTAAAATCCTGATATTGTGTCACGTGTGACTTTAAAGAGCCACTGACATCATTCGCTGCTGTGAGGGGGGAAAAAAAGGAAATGATTTCTTTCCCAGTGCACGTCACGGTTAAAGCCTCTTTCCGTTTCCTGTCAGTAATCCGGTTTGTTGTTGGACCACATTGTTGGGTCTATTCTACCTAATGCCCACCTATCTAGTTGGCCAGATTCTCCTGCCTATTGTTTCAGGTCTTAGAATCGCCTGAGAGAAAGCCTATTAAACTTCAAATGTTATGCCAGAGGCTGGAAGAAAAAAAAAGACAGTTTGGCAGAACACGGAAGGTATTTTCAGAATCCTCTCATTAACTTTCAAGGTGAGACGAGAAGCAAAACTTAGTTTGAATGTCAGTGTTAGTCAGTCTGCATTTATCACTTTAAATAAACCTTTACTAATAAAGCAGGATTCTCTTGAAATTTCAAGAGAGAGTGAACTATCTCGGCTCCTGTTAAACACGTCTTCCTCTTTTCCATCTAGATTCCATCGAGAGCTAACGAGGGGGGCGTCACCTGACTGGACGGTCACAACAGTTTGGCACTGGCACTGGACACTGGCTAAATAATTAAACTCAACTCTGTGAGACATTTGCCACTTGTCATGGACGCCACAGCAGCAAATTTAACTTATGTATCCCTGAAAGACAAAGCGAGCAGCAGACTAAAGAACTGGACCCAAAGCCACAGCACTGAAGCAGTTGAGACTTCAGAACTCAATACATGAACCAGTCCTCCCACTTGAATTTCATCCTGCAGTCCTTCAATGCCTCTTAAAGACTTTCCTCCACTGATTTTACGCAGGTGAAAGACCTCTGAAATATCCTTGTCTTTAGCTAAGATACATGGACAGAATGATGAGGTCATTGGAGGAAGACTTACTCCATTTTCCTGAAAGTCTCTGAATGTGTTGCCAAGAAAATAATAAAAAAGAAAATATGCCCGGGCTCTTTCTGTAGCTTTCAAGCTAAATCTCAGTCTTCCTTCAGAAATGGGAGTTGGCTTATGACCCAGTATTTCATCAAGTGACGCACAGTAATCATCCTCATTACAACTGTCAAACATTGCCCCTTCTCTCCTCATCAACACCATTCCAACAATAAGCCACGCTGACATTGCACCAATAAACTACTGGACTGTATAAACATTGTGATGGTTAGAATGGCTAAAACCTGTTTCAGGAAGGAAATGTCAATATAGTACATGTTGTCCTGTGTGGACAGTTTTAGGAGCTATGGCCTAAATTAAAGTATATTTTTCATTTAAATAACCTAATAAATGGTGAAATAAACAGTAAATGGATTAGGATGAGAAAGAAAATGTATATTGTCCACACGTTCCCCAAGTTAGCAACAGTTTGATAAAATTGTTTCTGACCTCAGCGCCGACAGGATGTTTTAAAAGCTTGTATTCCACAACCGTATTCCTCATGTGATTCATGAAACATATAAGGGACCAGATATATTAGTATTCTGCTACGTGTGATAAGAAGCGGAGTGAAACAAGATAATCCATTTTCCATAGCAGGCAGGAGGGGGCGTAAGTTCTGGTGCACGGTTGTCTACGACTGAATGTTCAAGCAAGTACTTTAATGGGTCGTCAAGAAATCACAACACGAGTCTTACACCAAGTGGAAGTAGTTGTATAGCATCGCTGCGAGCGAGAATGACAAATTCTCCCAGAAAAACCCTCCACCTGTTTCACTAACTCAGACGCAGCCTGTGTGTCACAGTCACTGCCAGAGACGTGTCACTTGTCACAGACATCACGTCTGACACGCCGCTGAATGCGGCGTGTCATCCGATTCTGTTAAAGCTCGCTGCAATATTATTAATGTTGACACGATATCTGACAAACAGAGAGGATTCTGTCATTAGCGGCCGCTAATTCATGCATAATGAAACACGCTGAGGATTATTCTAATGTTCCTGCATAGTAATGTGTGGTCTGTGGAAGTTTGCGTGGGGGTTTTTTGGTTCCAGTCGAGCATCTTGCGGAGTCATAATGAGATTAAGTGAGTGCGGTTAGCTTAGCACATGTCAATATGCTCATGGATATGGTGAGAGCACATTAAACAATTTGCCACGCCTGTGCATCACTCAGTTTAATGGAAATTAACACAAAAACAAGTGGTGAATGTACAAACGCTAATGTTTTTTTATTAGTTATTTTACTGTTTTGTAATGTTCTGACATGTGGATCGGTCAAGGCTGCGTGCCAACATGTTTCATTAATCTGGTTAGCGAGACAAATTACCAGCAATTCCTCATATCTTCTTTAGTCTGTATGTATCTCAGCTCCAAGAACGCATAAATTAATTGTATCATCTCTGTCAGACTAATTTAAAGGTTGATTAATAGAATTACAAGATAAATATGCTTAAAAAAAATCTAACCTAATACGCTGTCAGAAGAAATGATAAAGGTACAGAGAACAGCAACAGTCTCACAGGCTGTTATTAAGTCCAACGCAATCAATTAAAGCTTTAACACACACAAGAGCTTAGGTGTAACAACAAAAGATGTCACGTTGCCTTCAACAAAAAGAAGCTGAAATGTTGACACAACAAATGAGCACTGTCTATACATGGAACTGTATCTTTCATTGGGCAAAATAATTTTAAAGTATAAAAAGAGCCTGTACTCCCGATAAACTCGACCGATCTCAAGTCTGTCTCAGCGTCAATGATGAAGTCAACCAATTTTAAAGCATCACGACAGACTAATTAAAATCAGACTTATTGGCAACGTGTACCATTGACTCATTAGTTTGGTCCATGCCCCATTTGCTAACATGGAGGAGGTGGGGTTTGCCACCAACCACCAGGGGGCAGTCAAGATGCTTTGGTTTCACTTTAATGTCACTGTAAATATTCATGATAACTTAATTATGGACATAAACACAGTAAAACACACATTTGTTACATGAAAACGCTGAAGATATGAACCTGGTTGTCTTCAGAAGGTTGATTTGTATCTGTAGAATAAACCTGATCAACACAACTGACAGACGACGAGTCCTCGAGGATGAGAACACGACAACAAACACCTCAAAGTTTTGAGGTGCAGCTCAGTTCTCCACCAAATCATCACATGCAACCAACTTGATGGTGTAAGATTTAAGCTAACGTATTGAAAAATGTATAACAGGTGCAGTATGTCTTTTCAAATAACCTTCTTTTTTTAATGGGTGCTCTGCCAGAAACTGCTGCGTGGCTTCCAGCGGATTCATGAAAGAAAAGGAAAGGCAGCACTCCAAAAAACCATAATCCAAAAAATAGGTCGAGAGGAAGCTCAGATAAAGCCTCATATGACAAGACACATTAGTCTGATGGTAGCCATTAAAAATGTTTCTTTTTTTTTTTTAATAAGTTTTACGCAGTGTTGCTTTCCTCCATGGTTTCAGCCTCCAAACTCAAACATTTTGGAGGGTCAGAGTTTTTACTACAAGCGAGAGAAAACTATTGAGATATCGACTGAAATATGGGGAAGCATTGTACCATTAAAAAACATCCTCAGTATCACATGGCTTTTATTTCCTTAAGAACGTTGCGCACAACCTCGACACAAACCTCCCCGTCTGGCTGCCTCATTGACGCCAGATTCCAGGCCTCCTCAAATGTTTCCTCTGAAATACTCACGCCCACATTCCTGAAGATCTCTGCGATCTGTGAACAAGAGGATTAAACTGTCAGTAACAAAACCAACTTTAAAGAGGTTACGTGTATCACGATGAGATTTATGCCTTTTGCTGTATTCTATTCAGATCCAAGGGCACTAAGGCCGTGAGTGTTGTAAATGTCAATCTGGAAAAAGACCTGAACAAATATGAAACAGGCAGGTGATGGAAAACTTTCCCTAGACAAATATCAACAAGTAAAAAGTTTAATCTCTTCATAGGTTAATAATTGAAACAAGAAGGTTAGGCAGAGAGGACTCACACACAAAGGCCGGGCACATCCAATTAACAAAACCTTATTTCACGCAAGCCACATGAATTAATAATAATAATAATAAAAGTATGTGCTGAAATTTCTATGAAGCCTGTGTAAATAAATACAGACTATTTATTTTGAGCTGCTTCAGATAAAAGTGTGTGCCAAGAGACTGTCGCACAGTGTAGCTGTAATTAACAATTCAACTAATGACTAGCGACATAAAAGACAAGGACACGGCTGCAAATTCTCCTGACTTCTTTTATCTAAATGGCTGTTAAAGTAAAAACAGACTGAAGACTGTGAAATATCTGGAAACAGACTTTTCCCAGGCAGATATTTAGATTTGTTGAACATTGGAGTTATTAATAAGATTAAAGATAGTTGTGTTGATCTTGACGGATCCAAGGCGCTGCCTATAACTGGCTGACTTACTGAGACGCCCACGTTAAACAGATTCTTCATTAATGTTGTTGTTAACATTCTGTTTTCACCCATAAATTCTACTTAATGGGTCTCAAATGAGAAGAAAAATGTCAAACTGTGAAACATTTTATCTGTTATTTTATCTTTATATCATCAGAAAATGTCTATTGCTGATTTACTTGTTGTGACAGGATGGTCACTGATTGCCCCTAAGATGGAAGAGGAGGTGATGAAGTGGTCTGGGGCTGCTCTGGGTCGCCTCAGGGTCCTGACAGTCATCTGTGAGCTTCCTGGTGCTACAGGCTCCAGGTCTTCAGGTTGAATCAAGGCCTGAGTGGCAGGAAGCTGTTCTGATTGTGACAGAGACTTCCTCTCTATGTTGGCTGGAGACATGACACACAAAATCAGATCCCTGAACATGAGCCTGCAGGTAGACTCTGCATCACCCTGATGTACGATACCAAATGAATTTTGTTTTATTCCAGTTCTAATTCAGGACCTGAGCAAGGGAATTAAAATGAATATAAGTGCAAACGTGAAGCAAAGTGATGATTTAACTGACCATTTGTTATGATGCGTTGATCCTGAGCGTTGATTGGCATCTTGTCTTTCCAGTTGAGGAAGTTAGCAAACTCCAGGAAGTTAATGTGTCCGTCCTTGTCTGTGTCACAGTTATCAATCAGGTCATCCAGGACCGGCTCACCAACATCCAGCTGGAACTGAGAGCACACCGCCTGTAGGTCGTCTCTGTCAATCATCCCCTTTCCGTTCTGGTGATTTACATAAAGAGATTCACGTGAAAAGTTTTGTTTGAGAGTGAGACGAGAAGTTTTATGGAACTATTGTTACTTGATCACATGTCTTAACCTTTTAATTTAATTTTAATTTAGTCTTAATCTTTATATACGGTCTATGGTCTTAACACCATTGTCACGTCACTAGATTCATCTCAAAGCTTGCAACTAGACTCTCTCACAGCAGATCACCTCGTCAGTGCCGTCAAACAAAGGTGTGACCGTTGGATATTGGTCACTGGCCAATATCATCAACATGCCAGGGTCAAAATGCAAAGCAGGATTTGAATTAATGACACAAGTTACAGCTGTGTAGCCTGTGACAAGAGAAATGTTCACTGAGAGACGAGGCTATGGTGAAATACGTGTTTGACAAAACACTAAACACTGGATTTTGTCAGGTAACATGAGTGCAATTAGTTAGATGATTATATATTTTTATTGATGAATCACCTTTCAAAACACAGTTACAAAGTGCTTTACAAATTAAATTAAAGAAGTCTGAGGAGTCAAAATACACATTAGCACCATTGTGTTAAAGTGTCACCCTGCCAGTCGTACCTTGTCATAATGTCTGAACGCCTGTAGCAAGGAGGGAAAGTTCTGGAAATTGATCTTCTTGAGTTGGTGTTGCACTGCGTTGACCAGGCTGCGCTGCAGGACTCGACCCCTCACGTACGTCCCTGGCTCCGTTGAGTGGATTACTTCTGCAGCACCTGTGCAAGAAGCAGGCAAGATGCTGTTGTCTTGAACCAAAATAAACATCAGCATATTTTAGTATATTCAAATGTGTAATCCACAAATTAATTTAAACTCAACCAAACTCATCCAGGGGCATGGGCATTCCAAAGGTGTGATCTGGTGAGACATTCAGGGACGTTTTTCTCCTGGAACAATGAGTTTTATGAGAGGATTAAGAAGTGGAACAATGGTAGTTGGGTTGGTTGGAAGAAGTGTGACACTTACATCTTGTCAGCTTTGTCAGTTTTTTGCTGCATCCTGTCCTTGTCCCAAGATCTTGTCCAAACAGTCTTTGGATCGTAAAACCTAAAAAATAAAATGTATGCATGGTGAGTTAATTAATTAATTAATTTTAGAATTACTATATGGATACAGAGTTTAATTAGAATCAACAACAAAACACTTGGTCTGTGCCCACTCTATTTTCACACTCACTTCCGTGACTCCCCGATCCAGCAGAGAGATTTGCCAACAGTGCGGCCATCGTTATAATGAGGTGTGACGATCCCAAACCTGCTGTCTTTACTGTCGTGAGTCCAGTCGTACTTCCTATCGATCCGCTCACCTGGAGTGGTAGAGGAAATTTATTTTATAGTGGTGAGAGCAGACTTTACATTTAAAAAACTATAAATTAAACTCAACAAACAAAAAGTTGGTAGTAAAAGTATACGCTTTATGAATGATATGATCTCTCTTACCGACATAATAGGCATCGTGGCTGCGGACATAAGTTTCATGCCCCTCCTGAGCTTCCCTCTCCACCTCCTCAGCTGTTTTTGGAGGGTTGATAATCTCCCCCACATCAAAATCTGGACAACAAGGAATGAGAGAAGGAGAAGATCAATATTTGCTTCTTTGTGTCTTACCAAACCTAAATCTATTTCCCTCTTTTTTTAAAATGGTGTCAGCGATTGCCTTACTTGAGGTCACACACACCTTTAACTGTTTTAACACCAAAGGTAGTCTCTTCATTAGACCAGGTAGGAAGTGCAACATGCTGATCACGTGATCTGCCCAAAGAAGCTGCTTCACTGAGCTCTTGTAGCTTGTGTTGGAACACAGTCTTTGGGGGAGGATTTATCAAACTTCCGGCCTGTTGGAGTCACATGCAAATTACAAATGTAGATATTTGTAAAGTCCATAAAAACAAAAACTGACTACACTACAATAATAGTGTTTGTCTTCTTTTCTTAAAAATGATCCTTTAGCTATATCAACACATTTTGAATCAGGCATTGAGTAATTAATCAGGACCAACTTAAAATACCAACATGTTTTAGTCTTACACTCAGCTCAGGCATTTGTTTAAAGAGCTGTGTATTGTATTGTCCCTTTAACCCCTAATGAGGTGTGTGTGTGTGTGTGTGTGTGTGTGTGTGTGTGTGTGTGGTACTGACACTGAGAGATGATTTGGTCCTGATGCCATGAACAAGAGTGCTGGCAACATCTGGATCGTTCGCCTTCCCTGGGTGCACTCTGACAGCTCCTGGTTCTGGTTGGATGCGAAATTTCTGTACCAACGGTGGGGTGGAGGGCTGGAACGTAGAAACGTTGAAGTATTAAATTAAATACAATTCTGTTTTTAATAGAATCAAGTATTTCTGTTTTCTATTACTTTATTCTTCTACTGCATTTAAGAGGGGGTATATTAATATACAATGTATGTGTTTGGGTATGGATTAAGTTACACAGAAGTACATGCATGTACCAGCTGCAACATCAGCCATGCTAACACATGAATGCATCGACAATTATAACCCAAAAATGTACTTATATCATTTTATATAAAGTTACTTTTACTTGGAACTGAGTATTTCTAACACTGCAGCACGGGTACTTGTACTCGTGTGATTGCTCTCCACCACTGTACACACCCTCGTCCCTTGTTGCAGGCAGCTCTCAGCTCTGTCTCCTGCTGGGATCAGTTTTCCAGCCTGTTGTTGAGAGAAAACAGAGAAAACACAAACGTGCACCGAGATTAAAAACACAGTGGCAGCATGCTAACGCTACGTTAGCTGGCTAGCACGGTGTTAAAAGGTTGACTCGCCGCCGGTGCGTGTGTCTCCACGTGTTCCTCCGGGTCTGTCATGTTCTCGATGAGTTCACGTGAAGAGGCGACACAAGTCAGACGTCTTCAGTTTTGTCGTTTCTACCGAGAAAAGTTTTCGCGTTGAACTAAAGTAAAGTTTTGAAGACGCGGACCTGTGCGTCTGTTTCAGCTCCGTTGCCAGGCAACAGCAGTTCTGTTACAAGACAGTGACGTCACAAAAACTTTTTTATTGTTTATAAAAAACTATTTCAGACAATATGTCTCATTATATTCA